ATTTTATCTTGTTTGCAAGTTTGTGTTCCATAAAATAAATTTGAAACCTAATCTCCACCTTCCGTAAAATTGCTTCCTTGCGGCACATCATAACTCCCAATATTTTTTTAAAGTCTGTCGAGTAACCACGGTTACGCTCACGTGTTCTCAAATTAAAAAGTAAAGCAAGAGTAGTATGCACATTCGAGTATTATCAAACACGGATGCTTGATCAAAGCTCTTGCTCTCGTGTACTCACTTTTGGATAGTGCTCGAAAGTACTACGCGAAACGACAAAGGCAATTTCATTGTACATTTGAATACTGAAGAACATGAAAAATGGAACACTCTTGGTTATGCTTTTAAAATATAGTGGCTGCACTATACGGTACTAATTTATTTAGTAAAATTATGACTTTACCGATTTGTTGGCTGGGGAAGCCAATATCATACCTTGATGATTTTAAGCCATACAATATATACGGATCGTTTGTATTTGTACGTTAGGTCCTCTGTCCAATGTAAGAGGCGCTAATCGCAGTCAAGTTTGTAAACTCCTGTATCCAGTAATATTACATGTCATGGGTCTCAGAAACGTAGACATCTTCCTCAGGGGCTTGCAAATAGATCTTGATGGACGCACGCCTGAGCAAACGTTCGATGTTGTCTCTATCAACTCTACCATAAGGTAAACTGGCAGGTCTCGACTATTAATGGTTTCACATGGCGTTTGTGATATTGGCGTGAAATCTTTAACTGTTTGCATATGTTGATGAACTTTACCACCTCAGTCAGCTGTGACCAGCAAAACAAAAAAGAATCTAGAATCGATAGTACAAGTTTATAATTTGCTAAAATTGTATGTTTGATATAAACAATCTGAACTTCAAGCCCGAGTTCAACGAACTAATGATTAGCGTTCGGTGTAGGGTAGGCGTAAGGCTTACGTGTAATTTGGATACAAACACAAATATCAACATCGCACTAATTAAACAAATCCCGGTTTGCTTATCAGAAACAATTGTAAAATCGTCTTTATTAATATTGAATGATCTATTATATCATTTTCGAGGATCAGACCTGAGCTGAGCAGCTCATTGGACGCAAGATAAAGAGCTCCTTATTTCAGACAAGAAGATTTTAGTTCCAGAAGACAGTCACCATAAATCACTAAATATTGTTTATTGAAAATCACACTATTATACAACAACCACAAGTAAAATTTTTATATCTTCAAATTCATCTACTCTCAATAATGTAAAATGGGACGCATACTTGAATGCACAATCTTTAGAAGAAGCAGTCCATCTCTTTTACTGTAAACTGTATGAGTGTCGAGACATGCATGTTCCTACTAAATTAATTAAAACTGGGTCTCAACCTCCTTGGTTTAATTCGGCCTTATTAAAAATTCTAAAAGAAAAATATAAATTTCACCGTAAATATAAAATGTATGGTAATGTCTCGGATTATCACTCGTTCACAGTGTTGCGTAGAAAAGCTATTGAATTTGAACAAAAATGTTTTGATAATTACCTGGATAATATTCAGAAATCTGTTGTTGACAACCCTAAACTATTTTGGTCACATATAAAAAGTTTAAAATGCTCTAATTCCTATCCTGGCGTCATGAAGTATAATAACACTACCGCAGATTCAGGTGAAGCTATTTCCAATATGTTCGCAGAGTTTTTACATTCTACATTTACAGCACATGATCCTTGTTAAAGGTTACACAATCTGCCTATCAGTGTAACTCATGGTGCCATTTCTATCAGTACAGTTGAGATTGTTAAATCTACGGTACTTAAACCGCTAAAATTCATTGATCTCTCTAAATCTGGTGATCCTGATCATATTCCTCCTGTATTCATAGTAAAGTGTGCTGACAGCCTTGTAGTTCCGTTGTGTTTGCTTTACAAAAGATCTCTAAATGAACGCATCGATCCCTCAATATGGAAATCTGCATTTATTACGCCTGTATGTAAGAAGGGTGATAAATCACATATTGAAAATTATCGTCCGATCTCCAAGTTATGTCTTTTTGCAAAAATATTGGAAAAGCTGGTATTCAGTGATGTTTATGCGGTGTTGAATCGTACATTTAATGAACACCAACATAGCTTTTTAAGAAATAGGTCCCCCGTCTCTAACTTAGTCATTGCCAATGAATTCATAACAAGAGGCTTGGACGGCCGTGCACAAATTGATGGAGTTTACACTGATTACACTAAATGTTTTGACCGCATAGATCACAATGTGCTTCTGAACCAGTTGATGGTAGTATAATAGAGGGCTGTAGCTCAGATGCATTGCGAGAGGTACTTTTAATAATATAAAACGGGATTAACTTCAAACTTTTGGTTTATTTTACCATTTTCATGTCTAGGGTTACAAATCAATAATCTTAATATGTATGTCAAGACCTTTCCTTGTTTTCTTAGCGTTCCAAATACAAACATTATAAACATTATCTATGTTCAGCCAGCAGTTCTACTCATAGAGTACAGCCTCGTCTACATCCCTCTTCCTCACAGCTGAAGGGGTGAATATCCCTAGCTAGTGCTCTACCTATGATAGGCAACATACATAGTGATCAGCCTTTACTACAGACTAGCCACACACTGCTCGGAAGCTATCAACTTACCAAGTAAACCACCGAGGAGGCTATGGCTTTGGTCTGCCAAAAACCTATCTAAAAGGACAGACCATGACCACATCCTAAACAAACAAATCAAAATATTTTCACTAGTTAGCTATCCTATCTAATTAGGGAACCTGACTAAACCCTAACAGTTTATTTTAGCGACCCTAAACTGGCTGAACGACCCTAATAAAAATTCTACACATCACTACAAGTTCTTAACTATCTCAGCCTAAGCTATCTCCAACGTGGATGCTGCCACAACGACGACACAGGCTTGAACACCCATCGGACGATCACTGGGTTACATCACTATTGATCTCCCAGCTGCCTTAGTCCTCATTTTGCAGCTATCACGTTCCAACAGCTTCACTTGCTATCTTTAACCAAACAAAAACCAACCCACATATAACGTCAACAACATATTCTAACTACATATTCCACGACACATATGGTATGAGGGTATACCACATGAAGACGTCTAATTAAATAAATATATTTTCCCCGAATGCAGACAGTCCTTGTTCAATTGGAAGGATGAGCACGAACTATTCGCATATACAGGACAATATATCTATCAAATTAAAAAAAGAAAAACAAAAGTAAATTTTATCTATTTGATGGTGTATCTTCTCCTCCCTTCCTTCCAAGTCTGCATTGCCGGAAAATATTAATTTTTCTCCAAATATTTCTCACAACGTCAATGTGGTTCCACATGAAAAGTAAATATAAAAAATTAATTAACCTAGTAGAAACAAACACATTAAATTCCCTCATATAGAACTTTTTCATCCTATTCACATGGAGTAGATTCTGCCTACCCAACCTTTTCCTATTTACATCTACTTTTCTTACAATACAATTAATCCTACTCAACCAATTCACTACCCTAACCTTCGCGTATCATATCTCTTAGATAAAGCAATCCTGTCTTTCTTGTCAAACATTCGCTTTTGCTTTAATTGTAAACCATCTACATATTCTTTACGACAACTCATCGAAGCTGCTCGTTTTACGTAGTCACTTCGCAGATTCGCCACATTACTTACGCGAACACGATTAGAAATGTCGCTTTCCGAATTGTATTTTATATATATTTTCGGCAAATCATAATTATAATTATTTATATCTAAATCCCGTTTTTGACGCAATTGACACGTCTTATCACTCACGTCAACATTACTTATCATCTCTGGCAAAACCGAGAAGCCATCCAAACTTTTTGATATCGGTTTCAAAGGAGACTTTTCTTTCTTTGGTCCACTATCTGTCATGGACTTAGAAAAAGAAATTTTATTGTCAATTTCCACTTTTGACAACTCGAGATTACACTTTTCCAAAACATCTCGACCCAGAACCAAATATTTTTCAAGATCGTCTACAACCAGCAACTTCGAAGGATATTCCTTCCCATTAATCATCAACGACACCTTGGTGGACGACTGCACATTTATTGGCGTTGCACCCACTGTGCGTAATGGAAAACTTGGTGTATCATCGATACGCAACTGCAACTTTTCCGCAAAATAACGAGAAATAACTGAAATTGAAGCATTAGTATCCACCAACGCCTCGCAACATACATCATTAATAAAAACAGATATAAAAGGTGCCCTATCTACGCTAAACCTATCAAATGTAGACAAATTTTCTACATGTTCAGTTGCGCTTTTCTGACAATCACGTTGAGGAGATCCCGACGAAGATCCACTACTATGTGCTCGTGAATACCCTTGACTTGGCGTATCCTGCTGCACGATTGGTGCTCGCGGCACTTGATAATCCGACTGCTTAGACTCGGGTCTAATTATCGGTGTAGAGACATCCTGTGTTTGCCAACAGTGAGAATTCTCCATTTGACAGTTTACTGGCAATACAATATCTTGTCTCACATTATAGCTGTGATTAAATACATCATCTACTTGGATAATTGTTTTCCTCAACTCCTCTTTAGATAAATATAAATTACTAGCCAGCATCCATTTAAAATTGGGTATCAAAGACTTCAAGAAATGCTTTATAAACTGAACATCTTGAATATTCGCTTTCATCGCTAATTCATCTAAACTATAAAAATAACTTATCAGCGATTCATTAGGCCCCTGTCGCCTATAATAAAATTCACGTGCATAATCTATTTGTGAGGGAAATTCCTCTCTTAACTTTTGTGCAATCACATCATACGTCACGTATGAAGAAGAATACGTTTTGTACCATTGTAGAGCTGGCCCCTCCAAATACAATGCAAACACGTATCTCTTCTGCACATCAGACCAATTATTTAATATACTAATGGTCTCAAATTGGGTCAAAAACTCGTCTACGTCGTTGAATCCATTAAATTTTTGTGCCGACATAGCATACATATCTTCTCCTCGCACTTTTCTCTGGCACAATTATAAAACAATATTAAATAAGTATAAATATAAATTACGACCTTCTGTTACGCTTTCCTTGTGGTTGTGTCGTAACAACATATAAAAATATTTCACGATGGACTTTTCTTCATCGGAATCCTTTCATCATTAGTAAGCTTGCGTCTAACATTTGCAGGCTTCAATTACATTATATTTCTTCTTCGTAAAAACATATAAAAATATTTTCCAACGGCGTTCGCGCCTCCACCATTTATAATAGAGGGCTGTAGCTCAGATGCATTGCGAGAGGTACTTTTAATAATATAAAACGGGATTAACTTCAAACTTTTGGTTTATTTTACCATTTTTACATAATTTTAGTATTGCGTTACAAATCAATCCTCTTGTTATGTCAAGACCTTTCCTTGTTTTCTTAGCGTTCCAAATACAAACATTATAAACATTATCTATGTTCAGCCAGCAGTTCTACTCATAGAGTACAGCCTCGTCTACAGTAGCATGCATCCATGGAGATTTATTGCGCTGGTTTGCTTCTTACGTAGCTAATAGAAGCCAAGCGGTTGTGTTGCGTGGCTTTATGTCAAGATGTACATTAGTCCCGACTGGTGTACCGCAGGGCTCTATCCTTGGACCTTTATTATTTTTCATCTTCATCAATGACAATGAATCTTGTTTTATTCACTCAAAAATCTTGCTCTTTGCTGATGATATGAAGGTGTTAAAAGTCATACGTGGGCAGATAGATGTTGACGATCTTCAGGCAGACTTAAGCAGATTTGAAGCCTACTGTACCATAAATAGGCTTGAACTTAATGTGTCCAAATGTTTTTACATGACATTCAGCCGTAAAACATCAACTATAGGCACTGGTTACAAATTACATGGCACCAACATATTGAGACTCAGGGATTTCCCTGAGTCTCAATATGTTGGGTGTACTACTTGGGTGTACTTCATGACGACAAAATACTTTTTGACAAGCATATTGACTGTGTAATAAGTAAGGCATCAAAGGGACTTGGATTCATTATTTGGACATCGGCGACGTTCAATAATATCAAGTGCATTAAGATTCTATATTGCTCTTTTGTAAGGAGTCACCTTGAGTACGCTTCACAGGTCTGGAATCCATGCTATGAAACCTATAAGTCTCGGTTAGAGGCAATTCAGCAGAGATTTTTAAGTTATCTGGACTACAAAACCAAACAATTTTCATCAGGTTATGAAAATAGGTGTACTAGGTACCATTTTTTGCCGCTTCATGTACGTCGAGACATTAGTGACGTCAATTTTCTGATGAGGATCGCCAACAATAATATTGATTGTCCAGAATTATTATCACACATAAACCTGCGCGCAAACTTGTTGCATTACAGATGTCGACCACCTCTGCAAGTGCCATTTGCGAGCACTAATTATAGGCAAAACATGGTGCGTGCTTTGAGACTTTATAACAATGCGACAGTAAATAATTTTGCATTTGATTTGTTTTGTTCAAGCATAAACATAATCAGGCGAGAAATGACCAAACGTCATTTTGACACATCATGTGATTGGCGATGAATACACTGGTTTGTTCGTTTAATTGTATAGAATAATAATTTATATTTTTATTTTTTAAATTTAGTGACTGTGTTGTTTGTATTCTCCTATAATCTCTTGTTGGCTTGCTAAGCACTTTATATTGTTTCATGTTGGTGGAAATTCGTAAATGGCATTGGATTACTCATATTTAATTATACCATTATTCTATTATTTGTCCGTGAATTTTCCTAAAATCTATAAATAAATAAATAGAGAATGAAGGGAATCCAGTCCCAAGTGCCTGTAATTGCTCCAACACCATTTTCTCATGGTTTTACCCTTATAACTAGAACGCAATAATACTCATATTACTGTTTGGCGGTAGAAATAGGTAACGGGGGTTAGACGTCTCTGGACAAACTCTTTCACAAGAAACTCCACTGAAACTATATTATTAATTTTTCGCCCCAAATCATTGCCACTGAAATAAAACATACTCACGCTCAATAATTACCGAGAACCCTACGTTCTTAAGAGGGAGCATGCCAAAATTGTTTTGACGTTGGCTCCACCCAAATTTGTGAAACAAATATGATGATGAGATGTTGAATTTTGCGCATTAAAAGTATCAAATTCGTTTTAGCCGAATAACTTTAAAACTAAAGGGATTAAAAAAAATCCGTAGCGACAGTTCTCGATCATGCATAAATATAATTAATTATCTAATTTTTGTCCTAATAACCTGTAGCATTTCGAGGATGAATCGAAAAAATGTGAAAATTAGAGGTCATTTCGTGATTTTTATCTATCGAGGAAACTTTATTGTTTTATGTTTCTGATTAGTATCTATGCTTGAATATATCGTGTAGTTACTCGTACAATATTTTATTTTTAACTTTAAAGTGGATATACCCCTCTAAAATCAAATCGAAGATTAGGAATTTTTCCTCTGCTCCTTCTTAAGCAATAAGGTGGGACATATTGGGGTTCTGTAGAATGTAACGAACGTCCTAAAAATTCAAAATACCTACGTTTGGTATTCTTCATGTAGTTAGAAAACCGGAGCTTTTTTTCATCATACGTCATGGCGCAAGAATTTCCGACTGAATATTATCATGAAACGTACACAAAAAATGCGTGGTTGCCATGTTTTGCCCAGGAATATTCCGTAGTCGTTCTGTTTTTGGAGTGATGAAAAATATTCCAAACTACATCATTCAGTATAAAAAGTCAAAGAACCATTTATTTTATAGGTAAAATAAATTTACACTTCAAAACGTCATTCATCACTGTGTTGACTTCCCTTAAACACAAATGCTATGGAATCACTTTGAATCAAATTTGTGTGGGATCTACAGCCATGTCGTCTTTCAATACATCTTTATCTAACAAGTATTCCATTTTCTAATGTGACTTTTAGATCAAAATACTTTAATGTAAGTTTTAAACTTAGGAAATGACAATTTTAATATATGCTCCGGAATCTTATTGTAAAAATGTACAACCCATCAAAGAATCTTTTACCATAGTTAAACAAAATCGTGGTAACATGATTTTGAACTTAATGCTAAGGTATAATATTGCGGACATTTTCTTTATTAATGAAATTATGCATATTTTTACGGGCAATGGTACAACGATTTTTAACTTTGGCAAGCTTCGTGTTTAAGGGTGCAATCATACGAGCCGAATTCTACCTGCATCTTTTAATACAGTCAGCGCAACTGCATTGCGACCGTCTACTTCTATTGCAGTCTGCTTGAACTTATAATGTAGGCAGTGCAATTGTAGCTTCACATTCATACATATATTTCACGCCCTTTTTCCATCAAGGTAGGCAAAGCACAGACACGAACAGCCTTCCACTTGTTACGAAGTACTGCCACCTTACTACTAAGTGGTAATGTGTCTGGTGAAATTACAGGCATATACGACTTGTCAACTTATGACTCAGGGTGACGGGCGCGGTAACAGTGCCCCAGTGTCATCTATCTTTCGTACACATTCACGTCTAGAGGCGGGAAAACTTTGTTAACGCCGGTTTTAAATCGGGTTAAAACCCGTGATTAACGGCCGAATTCGAGGGCAAAAACTATTTGCAACTAAGTATTCGATGTACTTAAATCGAGTTCTGTTCAAATTTAAAGATATTATTACAAAATATTTACTGCTTTCTGATCTAGACGATTCGATTTGCCTTTCTATTAAATCGGTTCGCCTGAGCATCGCATTAAAATACAAAATCGATAGAAAAAATCGATAGATCGTATGCACTTGAATCGATCGTCATAAAAATCGAATTGTAATGTCCATTCTTAATATTGAGAATTCACAGGATTGTGAAATGAATATTGTATGGAGTTACCTCTTTTTAGTCTAAAAAACATTTTTTCATCGAAATTTGTAATTAGCATGGAAATATACCAAATTCCATATTCGTCGTTTCTGCCCACGATTTTGGTCAGAAATGGGTTAAAACCCGGGATAGTTGATTAGATGTTAACCCACTGTCGATCTCTGGTTGCGTCCTTTATTTAATCGTGGTAAGTACCTTAGCAACTTGCTCGCTCATGTTCGCCATGTAAATCTGTTTCATCAATCTTCGTTCATTCTTCTTCTCTACATGTCGAAGAAGAACCTAAGAATATTTTTCTCAATCTTTGTCACCACATCTTTTCTTTTATACAAAAAAGGTGAGACATCCATCTCAAATGATGGAAAGTGACGATGAGGTCGAAGATGTAGCATGCACACTTAAATGATGCCTATACACTCTCGTCTTTAAAAGATGCAAGGTATAGCGTTCGGGGAATAAGTCCGCATGCAGGGAATTCCACTCCCTAGCGGCTCGCCATATAAATGTGGAAGCAAAACGCTTCGTGCGAATCCTGGGAATGTCCACAATGCAGGGGTGGAACTCCATCCTACGTCTAGTCCCCCGATGATGGAAGGGGGAAGGCGGATTTAACATGCAATTCCAACGCACACTCTCTGTGATATATCCTGTAGAATACCGATAAGAAGACGGCGGTGTTCAAGGTTCTGCAACTTCTGCTCTACTAAATCCGAATCACCTATAACCGCTCACGCGATGCGCTCCTCCCACCGCATAATGGCGGCTATTTGGTTTCGCAAATTAGAAAAGGATTCAGTTTAAATACAAGTTTTTATAAATAAAAATTATTATTCTGCATTGCAAAATAAATACCCTCCGTACTACCAACAAAAACATCTCAAATAAAATGCAGTAATACACCGCCAATCCTGCACTTAAAAAGCACTAATGATATTTTTGGTGGTGGTACTTGGATAAATATGATAATATTCCGTTTGAGTGGTTCTAACGTTTACCATGAAATTACTCCTTAAAGTATAGTTTATAAACATTTATATTCAGGGTAAACTTAAAAAACGCTACTTACGGTATGTTTTCAATAAATAAACACCGAAATCACCAGCCCAAACAATAACACACACGATTGTCGTGACGTATTTTTGAAGTTGTTTATTTTTTTAAATGGCAGACCCAGGCATTAAAAACTTTATGGTTTGCTAGAGTAGTTACCGAAATAGCAATTAATATTAGTTCTTTTACCTGTTATAACTTCGATATCCGGATAAATCGGTATAAAATCATCACCGGCACCTCTAGGTGTGGTATGCGTCTACAGCTGCATGTATCGCGTGAGCGGATAAGCCTTTTGGCTTTTAATGCAATAAAAAAAAATAAAAGCCATCCCATTAGTGGCAGCTGTACTCCATACACGACCGGACTTGCGCTTGGTACAGCTGAAGCAACTGTCCCGGTGTGAAGTAAAGCCTCACATTGGAAAGGATGCCAAGGTTCCTGACTGCATTTGACACTCTTCTTCCACACTGCAACACTCCCTTACCACACTGTTCCATAATGTATCCATCAGAGACCTTCCACTGCTTCACAAAGCCGACTATTGGTGCAGCTGCACAATACAGCCCGTGTAAGTACACTAAATCCTACGCATATGAACCGTCTCTCCAAAGCGTCTATATTTATCGTAAAATCGTTTTACAGTCCAATAAATGTTACCCATACCCATAAATCTAGACGCAGTAAAGTTGCAAAGTTCGAACGTTACAACTTTAGCCATTACTCGACATATTACGTATATTTGTACATAAGTTACCGTAGATATTATATTTTGTTATCTATATATTGGGGTGAAGACGGCTTGCTTCCAAATTGAAAGGTCGATTGTTTGAATCCCTGCAGCGGCATATAGGAACCTATGAATTTTTATTTTCTAGGTTAAGGCGAAGTATTTCAACGCGAGTTTACATTTTAGGAGGTGAGGTGTGGTGGTCCGCCTCTTGTATCCCGTAACTCGCGCACTGAAAATTAGGATGAATAAAATGGTAACAGGCGGAGGAAACTTGACACAGATCCGACGTCGACAACAGCCTGGGCAGTTGCAGGCGGCGCGGTGTGTCGTTAAACCGCTGGGCAATTTTCAAATTTTGGGATAAATGTGAATTTAATAACTAGAAGGCTTTGTTTGAAAAGCAAAATTTAGCAGGTTCTCTTTAGTACTTAAAGAGAAACATTTCTATATAAAAATTATGTGCAAAGTTAGATATTTTATTTTTAAATAATTCGCTTTAGATTTATTCTGTTTTCGAGATTTTATATGATCAGGTAAAGTACATCTAATCGTTAACACATTAGCATATTCTTTAGACAATATCATTAGGTATTTTTGTATATATAATAGACACACGCTTGGCCACATTCTCATGTTAAGCGGCGATGTGACCGACGATGCCTAAAAAATGCCTATTCACTCTAGCCTTGAATAGCCCCAAATTGTTCTTTTCGGGAAACACAGTAGAGTATTCCATTCCTTTGCCGTACGCATCAGAAAGGAGGAAGCAAAGCGCTTAGTGTGAATGGGTGGTATATCAACGACATAAGGATGGCGTGTTCCGGAGCTTTTAGTGGACCGAACGAGGAACGGTGAGGGTGGAACCAAATTGAAAAGTTCCTGCGCACACTCCTCGAACGTATCCGATAGATCACCGTTAAGCGGGCTATTTTTCTGCGATGGTCGAGATTTTGTAACTTTGACTCTACAAGAGAATTATTGTTAATAAGTCTCTTTGCTTTCCGTTCCACCGATCGAACACTAAAAAAAATTCCTTCGATCCAACTGGATTCGAACCAGCGCCTTCATACCGCGCCTGACGCTCTTCCAACTGAGCTACGGAATGAACCAGCAGACCTTACGAAATTTTGTATGTGCTTATTTGCAGATCTTTGTTTTTTGTTTTTAACGACCTTTACTTTTACTGTTAGGTCTTTGTATTAATAATTATAACAAACTAGTGGAGCAATCTGACTGACGAAAAATTTGAAAATCATGGTAGTAAATCATTGTGACATTCAACCATATTACATTTGTGAAGGTTTCAATGTCGCAACCTGCATCGGACCACCGTAGTGAACAATGACCTAAATCCTCTCAGAGGAGACCTATACAACAGTGGGACGTGTGGTAATAATAATAGCAATAATAAGTCCTTTGACAATATAGGGTTGTCAACAAAGACGATAATCATATACTATAAAACTTTTTCATGAAAAAAAAAACCGTACCTACTCAAAACTTTGTGAAACTACATCTTATTCTATTTGTCAAGTTTTATTGAAATCGAATAACGGAAAGTAAGTGAATAACAAAAAACTGGATACAAGTCATACATTTTCTTTATATTTGAATAGGACCCCTAAGAGATACCCCCTTTTCATCAAAATCGGTTCACAAATCGAAGAGTTATCGCGTAAGATACGCGCCAAAAAATACGATCGAATTAATAAACTCCTCCTTTTTTAAAATTGGGTCAACGTACCGAAGATGCTTTTAAAAAGATAGCAGCTAGATATAGCTCATAATGGTTGGAGTTATTACACTTAAAACTAACTGCATATCAGTAAAAGCTAAACTTTAGACGTATTTGCACACTACTTTAAAGCAATTAATCCAATTTATCTAGGGATATACTGAACTAACTGAACCCTGAACCATCTCACGTTTAACTCGAAATTTAACTGAACTAATTTCTGTAAAACATTTTCAGATAAAATATCAGATAAAACTGATTTTTCATATTTAACTCTTTTACTTTTACTTTCATCTCAGTACTAAAAAAACCGATTTCAAAAGTTCGTAGAATTACATCTATTGTCCGAGTTTTATTGAAATCGATTACCGGAAAGTGCGGGAAACTGGGTTCATCCCCTAGTTTACCACCTTTAGAGTTGGAATATTTTCTTCTAATTTAAATGGGTCCAATACTGAAGTACCATCTTTCGAATAAAAAAATAATCATCAAAATCAGTTCACAAACTATCGCGTAACATACAAACGCAAATAGAATAAAAAACAGTCTAATTGAGAACCTGCTCCTTATTTTATTTAATATGAAAAACGTCACATTTTTCTAGTAGCAGTCGAGTTTTTAGTGATAATGTTCGTCCAAGGAAGTACTGCCACCTTAGCAATTGCTGCAGCAATGTGAGCATTACTGCATTCCGGTTTTAAAAGGTAAGGGTGCTGGTGAAATTACAGGTACATGGGACTTGTTAACTTATGTCTCAGGGTGACGGGCGCAGTGCCCCTCAAGCATCAGGCGCACGACTGGTTCGTCCTGTCACTTGATATTATAAAAAAACCATTTTAATTCAGGTACCACTTTACCGTAATTCATAATAGCCCAAACATAGATGGAAGGCTTTTTAAAGGCACTACATCGACAAGAACAATTTTCTTAAACAGATGAAGACTGAGGTATAATCAGTTAATATTATTGCAGTATTCATTTGCTCTATCTCTCTAATCTCTTTTATAAGTCGATCTACAACTATTACATATAGAACGTATTGAAATTAGGCGGATAGAAGTTATCCTGCGTAAGTCTGCTGACTAAAACACTGCTATGTGACATTTTGTGGTTTATAGGACGAGCGTGTCACTGTTCGTCCGATCACTTGGTATCACAAAAAGTAGTTTTGACGCGTACACAATTATTATTTATTTATTTTATCGGACTCTTTAAAGTTTTATTTTGCACTACGTCCTTTATAATTTGAGATATACAATGCACCTTGAAATAAATAACGTCATTAAACGGAAATGTTGCGTTTTTTTGGAAATTTTCAGAACGCAGTAATCATCATCATTATCATATCAAAAGACGGTCACTGCTGAACATTGGGCTCCCCCAAAGATTCCCATAATAGTAGATAGGATGCGACATGCATCCATAAGTTACCCGCCGCCCTTACCAGGTCATCTATCCCTCTAGTTCCGTTCCACTAACGCCTTCCGGTTCGTGGTCTCCATTCGAAAACATTTCTGCAACAACAGCCGTCAGTTCCACGAGTTAAGTGCCCTGCCCACTGCCACTTCAACTCGTTAATCCTCTGAGCTACGTCGGTGACTTTCGTTCTTCTACGAATCTCCTCATTTATGATTCGATCACGTAGAGAAATTTCGAGCATTACCCGCTCCATAGCTCATTGAATGACTTTGAGATTTTAATGAGGCTCGTAGTAAGTGACCACGTCGCAGAGCCTTGGGTCATCGCTGGCAACACGCACTGCTCGAAGATTTTTGTCTTCAAGGACTGTGGTATTGCGGACGAGAAGATGTCCCGGAGCTTCCCGAAAGCTGCCCAACCGAGTCGGATTTATGAACGCAGTAATGCTCTCATTATAACAGGCAGATAGGTAGTAAAGCTCACAAAATAAATTACACAATATTTTAAAAATAACACTAAATGTATTTACAGCTGTAATTCCGTGCCACCTCTAAGTACAAGAGTAAAATTAACTATTAACACCCTTAAACTCAGACCAGAGCGACAAAACGAGTACAAGAACACTAGACAGCGAGAATTATTACAGCTCGAAACGGACCAGGTGTTTCATACAACAAGAAATAAACAGTGAACTAAAATAAACTGAGTTATTAAACAAGTTGCTTCTAACGATCACTGAGATACTCATTAGTTGACTATTCTGAAAAGTATTAATGGTTACTGTTTTCATTGTAAACTTGTTTAGTAACAACCTAAGTATGGGTAATTATTAAACAAGTCATAATTATATATTCAATCAATTTTGACGATCTCCGTGGTAGAGTATGTTTTCATCATCTTCTTCTTAAAGTGCCGCTCCACTACTGGCCGTCAATATGGCAAATTTGTCCCTGTCCAAGACCAAACTCGCACTCACGCAAGTCGCGCGCTATCGTGCTAGCCCTACTAATCTTTGCGATGTCAAGCTCTAAGTGGCATTGCAACTGTTACGGATAGGCGTGTTTGGACATCTGATAGGTCACGACAATTTTCGTAGAAGCAAAAGAAAGATATCTCCTTCTATAAAGAAAAAAAAGTTTGAAGAAAAAGGAAGCAGAGGAAGACGAAGACGAAGTAATTTAATCAGGTAAGGAAAAAGTTAATGAAGTATCGTATCAGGAAAGTTAGCTGAACAGAGTCAGCCAACCGGTTATTACTCCAATGACAAGAGCTTAGTTTGAAACCGCCAACAGTTGAGCGAAGACCTGCTATTTTATCTTACGTGAGTGGTGTTACAGACAAGATCGGAAGAGCCCTCAGGTGTGCATCTATCAAGACCAATTGCAAGCCCCTGAGGAAGATTTCTCAGTTCTTGAGACCTGTGAAATGTAACATCCCCTTATAGGATGCAGGAGTTTACAAGCTTGACTATAAGTGCGGTCTCTCTTATATTGGACAAACGAAGCGAAGTATTTGTACCCGCGTCAAAGAACATATAGCTGATGTCAAACACCGTCGCATAAACAAGTCTGCGGTCTGCGAGCATGTCATGGATAAACCTACACATTCAATGAAGTTCGACAAACCCCAAGTCATTGCAAAAGAAGTTTTCTTTTGCAAGGACCTGGGGTTTGTCATCTACTCAGGATGCTGCAAGAGGCCATTGAAATTAAAAAACATCCTAATTTCAACAGGGAAGATGGTTTCTCTGTACCACCAGTTTAGGATCCTGTATTTCCTCTGATGAAAATTCCCAAGCAGACATAAGTCTGCAGTACTAATTAATATGTTTTAATTTATTCTAATTTCTATTATTAATTAATAATAAATTGAACTTAATAAAAATTCATTCAATAAAATAATTTGTAAAACGAAATGTAGCGTAAATTGGAATGTTTCGTTGTAAAATTAAAAATAAGCTATTTAATTAATAACTTTTGTAACTATAGTGAAAAAATAATATGCATATTAGACATAACTGGTTGATGACTGTACCATCTCAGTCAACGGTGCCCATGAGACCTGTAAAGGGCCCGAAACGTCGGGATGTTTGAAACAACAAATATACGCGATTTAAATCCGGAAAAATAGTTTCATTTCCTAAAAGAAACAGAAGAATTTCTATTTGGTCTCAAACTAGACAATTCCCAGTACTATAAGCACTAGAGTAATATGATTCAATTCAGAGCACTGTCCATAACACCCGGATCAGAAACAATTTAGAAAAGTTCATCTACAAAATTGGTTCTGCCTGGAATCGAACTCGAGACCTCCTCATCCAACGCCCATAGTGCAAACTGTTGAGACAATCATATCGTCAAAATGTTTATATCTGCTTTTATATAATAAACACAACATAACGTGTCCATACAAATATAGATGCCAGACAGGCTCCTCAAGTCTCAAAGACGCCAACCAAGACGTCTTTTGTTTTAGCAACTCCATCCTTATGTCGTTGATATACCATCCTTTTGCACAAAGCGCTTTGCTTTCTCCTTCCTAATGCGTAGACAAAAGGCTGGAAAACAGTGTGTTTCCCGAAATGTACAATTTAGGGCCACAAATTAAATTTATCGAAGTATATTTTATGCTATTCCAATCAATACCAATAAGGTTTAGATTTCAATGCTTTAAGACTGTCCTCAGAGAATGGCAGTGCATATCTCTCTGTGTTATTGAAGAACTTGCAACGGGAGAGCACAAGGAGGTGGTTAATGTATTCGAACGATTGATCATTCATATTTCCATTAATCTTCTACCCATATTCTTCTTATATTACAATTGGCATTGTCACGTGTCTGTTCTTCTTCGAACGAAATAGTTAAAAAACTACTTTTCAAATGCTTAATCTGTCATGGAACGGCATCAAATCCTGTGAGATACCGATAGTATGGGTTGGTAGCATAATAATTTTCATACAATATCTAATCTGCAAAAGTGGCGTGCACGTAGCGCAACTGTGGTGCTGCAGCTGCTCTTCGAAATATTATAAAGGCACTACAGCGCTTCTACAAAGGCGGCCTGTTCCTCTGGCGGCTCCTCGGGCTGGGATGTTCCTCATCCGTGTGCGCTTTTTTTAATAACAACAAGTGACGGGACGAACAAGTCGTGCGCCTGATGGTAAAGTGCACGCTTGTTCATAACAGTTACGGTGCTTTAAATTATCTCAGGGGTACTACTGCGCCCGTCACTCAAACACATGGTGACAAGTCCCATGTGCCTGTAATATCACCAGCCCCCTTACCATTCAAAACCGGCACACAATAATGCTGACAATACTACAGGTGGCAGTAGTGGCCTGGACGAACTGTTTCACAAGGAGCTCTACTGCTACTAGGCTGTCGGGTATAAAATCCTTTGCGATGATCTCCCCCGCCGCCCGCCGGTTTGCTTTGCCCCTTAATACTAATGCTAGAGTGAATAAGCATATTTTAAACAAATGTGTATCATCGTAGGCCTCCAATACCAAAAAATAAGGTTAGCCATCCAAAGGGAAAACTTTGCCAGCAACCCGAACCCCAAGTCTGCTAATTTGAATCATCTTATTTGTGTGTCGATAATGTCAATGGAAGGGTTTTGTACATTTGGTATTCTGCTTAAAGTTTGGAGTGGCTTTTCAGTGACTAGCCGTCGAGCTGCTATTCAACTGCTTTTGCAGTCGATGGTACGTCGATAGCGTATACTACTAACTATATATCTTTAGTGATGTAATGAATGAATGTCGTTATTGTCGTTGCAGTCTATCGAGATTGAACTGCTATTGCAACTAGATTTTAGCAAAATAACAAATATTACCTTAATTATCATATATGGCACTAGCAGACTCTATAATTAATTATGGTATTTCCAGCTATGGACGTACATACAAAACTTTTCTTTTAAACATTTATAATCTGCAAATAAGGTTGTTAAAGACCATAGTACCTCTGAGGATTAAATTTAAGTATAAAGATAATTATGACCAACTATTTCGGTATTGCAATGTAATGAGTGTATTAGACAAAGTTGATTTTGCAATTATATCAGAAAATTGTGAAAATATTAAGTCACTGAAAACCAAAGTAAGACCGGATTGTTTGCGCACTTTATCACATCTTCCTATCTATGAAGTTCCAAATTGTAATAATTTTTATGGTGAGAGAGTTTGGATGTGTAAACTCCCGCGAATATTAAACAACCTACCAAGGTTCCTTGTGGATTTGTTAGATAATAGAAAGCCCGTGCAAGTAAAGAACATTCTAAAAAAATTTTATACAACGGACAAATACAAATAAGAATGATAAGAATGATTTATATACAACCTAACCATTAAACGCAACTACATTATTAATAGGTTATATAATCTTTAATTTTAAGATTCAACCGTAAACTAATATCATTTATGTATTTTTTTTTATTGAAATAAACAGTTTAAATTTTAAAAAAATTTTAATTTTTTTTAATTGAAATATAATCTCAGTGGAGTCATAATGGTCTTACGAGGGTGGTTTGATAAGACCGTGACTTTGAGAAGAAAAAAAACACTTTTTTTAATTATGGTTTATTTTTTTACGTAATATCCATTTAACTCTATATACCTTGATCAGCGATATCACAACTTATTCCACCCATCTAAACAATTTTTTTTGTCAAACTAAAAAATACGCCTCTGTTCCAGCTATTACTTCCACGTTTGATGCAAGTCGTTAAAAATCAGATTAAAAAATGGGGCTAAATCTGGTGAATCAACTTGAGGCTCTTGATTCGATTGAGCGCAGAGCCAGGAGACTTATCGGTGACGATAAGCTCGAATCTAAACTTCATAGTTTAACCCGTCAGTCGGTTTTCTACAGAATATATTTCGGAGAGCGTGCCCATGAGCTCCATCAGCACATGCCACCCTTTTACCATCGGATATCTAGACGTACGGCGGGATATTATCCTTACTTGGTCAATATTCCCTTCAAGCGCTTTTCATCATCTTTTATTATGTGTAGAAACCAGGAATGGAATTCCCTGCCTTCGACTGTGTTTTCAAACCCGGAACAACCCGGGTAGCTTTAAGATGCGACTGAATAGACATCTTCTGGGTGAGTTCGCTCCATCGTAGATACTATCTTTGCTCCAGAGCTAGGTAGTGGTCAAGAGCAATTCCATTTAATAAAAACCGAATACTGCGTGTCAATAGTTTGTATCATAATTCGACAAGTTTTGATGTTCTGATTGCAGATGAGAAACGGGATACTTAAAATTCCGTTTTCTTCATCTTCAAAAAATATATCCACTTCACGTGATTTTTTTATTTCTATTTTTTTTCGCGCCAACTTTAAAAAAGGAACGTCAGTTTTTAGTAAGGGCTTGTAAATTAATAAATAAAAATGAATTACGAAAAAAGTTTTTCTTTAACATTAAACGACCAATGAGCACAATACCTAGGTACATTATTTCTATTGTTTTTTTCTTCTATATTAAACATGCTTAGTGTACCATTTCCCTTTTAAAAGCTATGTTTGTACATAATGTGTAACACATAAAAAATATTATAACATATTTTGTACATAAAATTGAACTCCCAGTTAACGATGTACAATATACTTTTACGACGAATAAACTTAGTTTCCAAGTACAAAAAAGATCCAAATTTATTTGACACCTAATAAATAAAGTTCGTGTTAAAATTGCTAACTTTCTCTCTAATCGTTTTAACTTTCAACATATCCGAATAAAATATCCTTGTTTACATTTTATAAAGCACCTTCTTATTTTGTACTAATCGTTGCGTCTTTTAAATATCACAGCCATAACTTTGTTTCAATTACCTTTGTAAAAACAAAATATCAATTAAACGATTTTCAACTTTATGACGAACGGAATTAAATCTAATTTGATTCTCTGTCTACGTTTCTAGTTTAATATTAGAGCCAATATCAACTCTAATGTCAAGGAATAAGATTTCATATCGTTTTATGTATTTGATGTTGTGGAACACCTGTTTTCAATGTAAATGGTTGTAACTCCCGCTTGCCTTTTGTTTTGGGTTTATTTTAGAATGAATGATTTAGCACCGTGACTAAAACGCTATCTGCAAGGAACTGAAAAGGACATAAGATTTACCGCTCAGAAATAAAATGTCTCGTACAGATTTATGATTCTTGAACATACCTACTAAGAATTTCAATGGTTCATAATTATTCACAATTGGCGAAAGCGTCTCTATCGTTGCCGATATTCGGACGAAAATAATCATAATAGCTTCTTGATTAGGAATATGAGAATGTTTCTTTTAATTTGCACCTTATGTTTATTTGATAAGATTTAAATTTTTTTTCATATGT